CGTCGGCGAAGTTGGTGGTGCATGGAAGGAAAGATACTCGTGTAAGAGGGCGCATAGGGCTGCGCTTTGCGGCCCCGGAAGGTTGCCCGTCGTAGGGAGCGGAATCCAAGCGAAGTCCTCGGGCGTGAGCGGGTCCAAAGCCTCCTCTTTGAACACGCTTGCCGAATCCCTTGATGAAGACGAACTGGCGGAAGAACCTTCGGACGGTGAGAAAGCCGCACATGTATCTTGTCCTTGAGAAGCATCCAGTGAAGGAACGAGCCGGGCAACGAAGTCTTCGAACGAAAGTGGAAGACTCCCGACATCCGCATATGCCTCAGAAGAAAGGGCGGTCGTGCGCACAACCGCTTCCGATGGCGTCGAGGGACGTGTGGAGTCACCCTCGGCGGCGCCTACTTTCCCTGACGGGGTTTCCCCTTGGTGGGGCAATGTGCAGCATCGTGGATGGTGCTGTTGCACCAAAGGCAGTAACGTTACTTGAGTCTCGTGCGATAAGAATTCGTCGAGAGTCCGTATTGTGCCCAAGGTTCGTCGGCGGCTGATCCGGTGCTCGGTGTAGAGGTGGACTGAGTCTTCGTCCTGTCGCGGCCGTGATTGTTGCACGGCCGGCCACCATCCCGGGCAGCTGCCAACACTTCACCCTCGTTTGGTGTTGCAGCCTCGGTAGAAGTAATGCAAGCCACCTTTGGCTTGGGCTGGGTGCCGCTCGTGGTCGCGGAAGATCGGCCGGCGTTGCGGGCTTCGATATTCGTGAGGATGATCCGTGACGCTGTGCTGAAAAGCCTGTCAGATGTGTCGAGTGTCTCTGCAATCTGCGTCAGCGCATTTTGCAGAGCTGGACACGAGCGCATGATAAACAAGTGCTTGATGGCGCGGAATGCGAGCGGCAGGTCAGGTGTGGAGGCGAGTCTTTGGAACTCGGTAATCCAGTCCTGACTGAGCAGCGTGTTCTGATGGAGCTTGTTGAGCTTGTCCATCGCTTGCAGGTCGGGCGACTCCACTTGGAATCGCTTGTGCCAGGCGTCGGTCAACTCATGCCAAGTGAGCTTGGTGTGCAGTTCCGACACTGCTACGCCGTGGCTGGTCAAGATGTTGTCCAACCATGCTTGACACGCACCACCAGATCGGTGGTACAAGCACGGATGTCGATCGTTGTTCGGGACATGGTGCAGTTGAGCCTGAGAGTAAACTGGCGCCACCACGGGATCGGTTCCGTCTTGGACTGATCGCAGAAAACTAGAATGTCATCCAGTTTGGGTGGGCGCCGGTAGGATGCGGCGGCGGGCGTCACGGTGGCAGCAGCCTGGACCTGCGTCTCCAACTGCGAGTTCGTTGCTTGCTGCGACGTCCGGAAGTCCTGATGCACACGCTTGATGTTGCTGACGTCATCCTCCAAAACTTGCACACGGGTGGTAAGGTTGGAAGGCCCTGCGGCTGCTACAACAGCTGGCTGTTTCTCCACTGCCTGCAGCCGTGCGAGCATCTGGTCCACTGTCAGCTGCAGGTGAAGGATTTCCTCCTGCTGCAGAGCGCAGGTGGCCACGAGGTCGTGGGAGACCTGCGCAAGGGCTGACAGCCCTTTCTCAATCTTCGGGGCCCCGTCTGCAGATGCCTCTTCCACCCAATGTGCGGCCTCATCGCCGATCACTGTCTCCCGTGTGAACAGTCGTTCCTGTTGGCGTGACCGGTGTTCGGCTGCCGCCTGCACGTCTGCCTCTTCTTGACGAAGTCGGTCCTGTTCCTCCTGCTGTCGCTTGACCTCCTCCTCTTGTTCAAGCCGATTACGTTCCTTGGCCGCGGCGGCAGCCCTACCGTTGGCCTCCTGAATGAATGCCGCCAGGCGTTCCTCATAGTCCAGGAGGGATTCTCCCGCCTTCCGGTCCATGGCCTTGGTCTGTGATCGAGTGAGCAGTGTCATGCACTGTTGTGCCCGAAGTCTGAAGAGTCCCCCGAGGGCCAATCTGATGGACTGGCCCGGTACCCGGACTGGGGGGGGGGGGAGGAACAGGTAGGCAACGAATAGGTGGGAAGGATCAGACAGATCCAAAATTGAACAGATTCCTAATCAAAAAAGGGAAAAAAATAATAATAATTTTGAATAAAGCAAAATTCGAAAAGAAAGACTGTCCAATCCCACTGAGTGCCGAAGGTGATGCAGAAAGCAATTGTGAACCTTCGGTGCTCAAACTGCAGAAAATCAGAAAAGAAGTATCTTTAGAAACTCAGAGTAGGAGTAGGTTGCAAAAAAGGAAAAAAAATGCCGTTTTTTTTGTTTTTTTTTTGAAAAAAAAGAACGGAATTTGCAGACCTACGCAGTGAAAGTGTAGAGGGACAGTTTCGGAAAAAAAGAATCACGAAATTATCAAAATGCAGACATT